GTCACATTAGTACCTCAGAAAAGCTATAAAGGAGATAATCATCCCTAAAACAGATAAAATTTGTTAAAGATGTGGCTGATGACACAGTTTCTCCTTCAAGGGCCATCTCCTCTTCTAGGTTTGCATGAGGTACCTTTTCACTGGGGTAATTTCACTCATACACAGGAGGAGTAGAGGGCTGAAAGACATCAGTCACTTTTGAAGGGAGAGGAAAAGAAAAAAAAATCACACCTCCAAGCCAAAATAATAAAAGTTATTAAATACATACACAGATCACCAAACAAGGTAAGATCACACTGACACAGGCACTGCTTGACTGATTTCTCAATGTTCTAGACTTTAGCCTCATCATCACAGATGTCTGACACCAAAACTGGTAAACAGGAGGAAGTTCAATGCAATGAGAACTGAACTTAACTCTGACCCTGTTATTTCCCCATTTTTATGAAAACAGACTTAAATATCATTGATTCACAGTAAAAGTTGACACTAGACCCTCAAACAATGTTACATGTCTATAGACTGTCATGCCCAGAGGTTCCAATGTGCAGCAGTAATAAATTATTCACAGTGATCAAGAAGTAACTTTTTAGGCAACAAATCATGTAAGGAATCTACTTACACTTTCAGAGTTTTCTTCTGTAGAAGTATTAAGTATTAAAAGACTTTATTTTAAGGTATTTTTAATATTAATAGGTATAAAACCATTTCCTTTGTAACAGCATGGTATTTTGCCATATTATGAAGTATTTTTTATATTGAATACTTTTTAGATAAATTATTTCAATTTGTGATGAAAACCACCAAAGAGAGAAACAAGAATCAAAGCAGGAACCTTAGCTAAAAAGAAAGACTGGCAGCAAGGAACACAAGCAGGTAATTCACGTCATAAGAAATATAATGTAAGTAATTAAACTTCAACAATCTTGAGAGGTGGCAAACTATCACCACACCTTATTTAACATGTTAATCATAGCTTTTATGTTGCACTACAGAATAACAATAATGCAATTACAAATCCCCAGACAACAGCCCTGAGTGCATGCTTTATCAGGGCTGAATTCTATCAGTTCTACGCACTGTGCTACTGGTAGCGTGTCCTGTGCTCTCCATGTGATTAGACCTCTCGTGCTACCCCTGTATCTTTCAAGTGCCAAGCAGCAGAAGTCAAATCTTTGATGAACACACCTCTCATGCTCTGTTCAACAATATTAGTAAGTCTTTGGACAAGGAAAGCAAGGATTTCCAGGCCGGTGAATGGGTTCCCTTCTTTCTGCAGCCAGTCTCAGCCAACAGGCTCTTGCTTGAAGTATGAGAGGAAGAGACAGAAGAGTGAACAAGATGTGGCATCAATATTTACAACAGGTTGTTACTGTGACTCTTCCCTCCTGTCTCTCAATACCTACCTATGTCCCAAAAGCTACAGGTCCCAACCACGCTGCAGCTCTGCTCTGCTGGCAGCTGGATGGCACCCGGGCTGCCAGGGCCAGAGCTGAGGAGAACAGCCAGGTGACACCACAGCCCACAGGTCCCAACCATGCTGCAGCTCTGCTGGCAGCTGGATGGCACCTGGGCTGCCAGGGCCAGAGCTGAGGAGAACAGCCAGGTGACACCACAGCCCGGGAGGAGACGAGGACAGAGGTGTAACACACGGTGACAAAGGGTGGCTCAGGGCACAGCACAGAATTAGTATCACTGATACTATGATAGCAATGTGCAACAACCAGTGTGCCACAACAATTAGGGTTAATTACACCACTGCTGCAGGAGTGATATCCTGGCCAACGCTGGCCACACACTGCAGAAGCTATCTGCAGAATGCTCACCATACAAGCTCTGGGGCTGTTAGAGGAGTTAATGCAGGAACACAAATCCCATATCCCGAGTGAACATGAGGCAGAGATGTTGTCAAGACACGGGAATTCCATGATTTATGCAGGGAGATCCCTGGAGCAGGAGCATTCCCAAACCATTAACACTATCTGCAGAAGAATGTAATCTCAGTGGATGGATTTCTCATTAAAATAATTCCAAATCTATCTTCCACCTCAAATGACAGGGATCTTGACCCTAAAATTATTCCATAGCTATTCAGTATAATCTTACAAAGGTTATCTGTTTTCTTTACATCTGTTCTCTCTGTGAGTGTAAATCTTCCCATTTTGCTCACTCCACCATAACTTCACCTTGTACAAAGCTGAAACAGGAGGTATTCAATCCATGTATCATCCAAGATGCCCAGCTATAAGTTGCACTAAGAGACATTTAGATAAAATATTAAAAAATAATAATTTCACTGACACAGTTATCAAGCATTGGAACAGGCTTCCCAGAGAAGTGGTTGAATCAACAACCCTGGAGATTTTTAAAAGAGGTGTAGACATGGCACTTGGGGACATTGTTTAGTGGTGCATTTGGCAGCACTGGGTTAATGGATGATCTCAAAGGTCTTTTCCAATCTAAATTATTCTAGTCTATAATGCTATTCAACCTAAACTATCCTATTCTTATTATTCTATTCTAAATTAAACACCTTCTCCTCCCCACCACTCCTCGTGCAGAGCAGGGCATGAAATTCAGACACGTCACAAGTCTGATTTTGAACAAACCAAGAGAGTACAAGGACTAGGAAAACATCCTGCTCCCTTACTATGCCTCCCCGCAGAAAGAACCATTGCCTCCCCTAGGAAACCCAGGTGCAGAACAGGGCACGCTGCAGACACTGCTCGACACACACAAGGAACTGCTGTTTTTATGAAAACCTATGAACGAAGTGGCTTTCAAGAAAACCACACCAACACTTAAAGACAACACTGCAGAGCCCTCTATTCTATCCACATGCCATGGATTTCACCAACGAACTGCTGGAGGACACAGGATGACAAAGCTCAAGTCAGTTAACAGAAATCTGTCCTATGTTCCATACTTGCCTTTTTTTCAAAAGTGGAAATGAAACCCGAGATAATTTTACTGAGGAGGTAATATAAAAGTGAATCTTTATTGAAGGGTTTCAGAGGCAGCTATGGAAAGATGTCCCCAAAAAAGCCAGTTCACAAAAGCCCAGCCCCACAGGAATGAGTACATTTTTATAGGTTTTTGGAAATCGGTATAATTATTAAAAAGCACCAATTAGGAGGCAAGCGGTGACACAATTCCCCCCCCTCCCCAGGTCAAGCCCCTTCTATGGAGGTTTCCCCTTCGGTAGTATCAGTACTTTGTCCATGAAATGTATCCCAAGGAGTTGTTCTCAACCTTGGCTCCCAGGAAGAACCAAGACAGGAGAGGAGCCTTGTGCCCCCTGGGGCTGGGAGCTCTGGAATTTGTTTTGTCTTTTTGCCTAGGGAAAGGCCATGGAAAATCACTGAGAAAACCAGCCACTAATACAACAGGCTACGGAGCCACAAGTACATGTGCGAAGACTAAGGAGAACGTATAAAATAAAAAAAGGTAAAAAATAAGTGGACAAACACCATCCAGGGGAAAGCGTCCCTGCCCATGGCCAGGGGTAAGGGGGATTTATTGAAGGGTTTCAGAGGCAGCTATGGAAAGATGTCCCCAAAAAAGCCAGTTCACAAAAGCCCAGCCCCACAGGAATGAGTACATTTTTATAGGTTTTTGGAAATCGGTATAATTATTAAAAAGCACCAATTAGGAGGACAAGCGGTGACACAATTCCCCCCCCTCCCCAGGTCAAGCCCCTTCTCTGGGGGTTTCCCCTTCGGTAGTATCAGTACTTTGTCCATGAAATGTATCCCAAGGAGTTGTTCTCAACCTTGGCTCCCAGGAAGAACCAAGATAGGGGAGGAGCCTTGTGACCCCTGGGGCTGGGAGCTCTGGAATTTGTTTTGTCTTTTTGCCTAGGGAAAGGCCACGGAAAATCACTGAGAAAACCAGCCACTAATACAACAGGCTACGGAGCCACAAGTACATGTGCGAAGACTAAGAAGAATGCATAAAATAACTTAAAAAAAAAAAAAAAAAAATTCATTACTTTTTGCTACATAATATATCTTGAGAACGTATAAAATAAAAAAAGGTAAAAAATAAGTGGACAAACACCATCCAGGGGAAAGCGTCCCTGCCCATGGCCAGGGGTAAGGGGGAATTAGATGGACCTTCAGGGTCTCTCCCAACCCACACCATTCTGTGATTAAAGGAACAAAACAACCCGGACGCGGCTGCGGCTCGCCAGCGCGATGTGCGGCGCGCAGCCCCGCGCTGACACGGGCGCGGGAGTGCGAGACAAAGAGAGCAACCCTTTAAACACCGCACCCAACCGAACACCCACGGCTCGGAACCGTCCTCCAAGGAGAACCGGCATTCCGGGGTTTTTTGGGTTGCCTTTTTTTTTTTTTTTTTTAAAGCCTGCGAATAGTCGCGTCCCGCCTGCGGCTCGGGGGAGGCTGGTGACAGGGGAAGGTGCCCCAGCTCCCCAGGGAGCTCCCTCCCCTCACAAGGGCTCCCACCTGCTGGCTCAGGTAGCGCGTCAGGTAGCGGCCGGCAGGCAGCGAGGCGCTCCGGCGGCGGCGCAGCGGGGCGGGCAGGGCGCCGGCCGCGCCGAGCAGCGGCAGGAGCAGGAGGAGCCGCAGCATGGCCGGGGCGGCAGGGGCGGCGAGGCCCGTAGGACCGGCGGGGGCAGAAGCAGATACCGGGCCGGCCCTGCCGCTTTATAGGGGCCCGGCTCCTCCGCCCGGGGCTGCCCCGCGCGGCCCCGGGGGAGCGGCGGGGCCCTGGGGGCGGGGCCAACCTACACGTGCAGGGGCGGGCCCGAACCAGCGGCGCCTTCCGATTGGCTGCCGGCCGGCCGTTGGCTCGCGCGCGCCTTCGCGATTGGCTGAGGCGGCTTCCATAGGTGTTTCGGCCGCGCGGCCCGAAGCACGTGACCCGCCCGTCTCGCCGCTCCGACATTCTCGCTTTGTGATTGGCGGAGAGGGGCCGCTCTGCCCCCCCGGGAGCGCGTGGCGATTGGCTGAGCGCCGCCCCGCCCCGCCCCCGCGGCGGCCCTCAGCGGCCTCGCTTCCGCCGTGCCGCTCTGCCCCCAGAGCCAGCGCTGCGCCCCGGCCCGGCCCGGGAGAGTGGAACCAGCCCGGCCCCGGGGAGCTGTCCGCCTCGGGCAGGCTCAGGGGTGCCAACGGGAGCGAGATGTGTTGACGTGCTTTGGTTTTCCTTAGGGAGAGCGAGGCCGCGGCATCGCCAGAGGGCAGCAGGAGCCGCGCCGCGGGAAGGCAGCGAGTGCAGCTGCAGGGCTCGGATTGCCCGGCCGGGCGCTGAGGTTTGCGTTGTTTGGTGTGTTACAAAAAGTTCAAGTGAAACTGAGCTGGTCGTGCCGACCTCTCTCAGTCTGCCTCCCGGTAGTGAGCTCGGCGTTTCTTCCAAAGGGAAATCGAGGTGGAGATCCTGAGTCTGGTTGCTCTTGGCAGAACCTGTGTGAGCACTTCCACGCTGTGCTTTATCTCCCGTATTTCAGTTTAGTACTTGCAGTGTTCTCTGTTTTCTGGAGTGTGCGTTAGGGTTTTTTTGTTTTGTTGTGTATTTTTTAATGTCTCATAAAAGTGCAGGTAACAGGAACTACATAAACTTTGTTTCTGGAGTTCTGCGTTGAAAACGGGTGGGAATGAAGCACGTGCTAGTTTCTCCAGGCCCACCATTTTGGGCAATAAAAAAATCAGACTTAACTTTATTTCTCCTTTTCTGTATATTGATGTGTTTTCCATGTACTTTTTACTGTTATCTTGGGCTAAAACAAAATCTTTGTTACTCAAACAAAATAGTTCCCTTTTGGTAAGAGTTGAGGGCATGCACCATTCAACATACTGAGTCAAATTAGTTTCTATTAATATGTATGTTCTGGAAAAGTGGGGTTTTTCTTATTTTCTTTGGTCCCCTATTACAGCTTTTCCCTTCTCCTACCCCCATTTTCCAGATGTAGGGAATACTGGGATTTTTTTTTTTTTAATCTGAACTACTTAGAGGCAATGAGTTCAGTCACTCACATTTTTCCAGTACTCAGTGTTACAGAACTTGTTTTTACCAGGATATGCTGAGAAAGGTGTTCCAAAGGGCAAAGGAGCAGCCTGTAAGCTTAACTTCCTGGTGGCAAAATATGAACAAAACATCATTGTTGATCATAGAATGTGGGATTTTTGTTTTGACCTGTAAAAGCCATACTTGAGTCTCTTCTATCTCTTTGGTCTTTTGCCTCTCAGAGAGAGTTTTGGGATGAGGGTGTGGAATTCCCTTCCTATTCTGCAGTTTATATCAAAGAGATATTTATATTTAGCTACAGCTGTGATAAAAGAGCTTGTGCACATACAGACTTTTAAGGAGTCGTTTGATTGAGCTGTAGAGAGCATTTTGGCCATTCGAGTTGGAGCTCTGTGCTTTGGGATTGGCTGAGCCCCAAGTGACTTGGTCTAGTGGAAGGTGTCCCTGCCCATGGCACTGGGGCTGGAGCTAGGTGATGTTTAAGGTCCCTTCCAACCCAAGCCTTTCCAGGATTCTGTGATTGCTGTCTACATTTTTTTAACATCTGCTGAGAAAAAAAAAAAAAAAGTTGTCTGTCTAAAATAGTGGAAGTTTCCTAAAACTTGATGTTTTGGGCAGTATAGTATAATAAAGCCAAAATAAATCTGCAGGAAATAATACTGAATAAAAATACTGAATACTGAATAAAGATAATTTAATTCCTATTTATTTAAATGTTTAGTTCATCATTTATTTGTCAAATTTGTGCAGCCTCTGTTGACCAGGAGCAGGAGCTGCCCTTTTAGCTCAAAGCGCATGACATAGGAGCAAACATCATTGCTGTTGTGAGCCTTTTTCAGGATTTTCTGAGTAACCTCTCCAGGTCATTGGTGGTGAAACATTTCTAGAATTACAAGTGCAGAATCACTTCAGTTTTTAACCCCATGTTGTGACTTCACTCTAAATTAAGGAAAATAATTAGAAAGCTGCTTCCTGCAATGCTGTGCCCAAGGATAATTCTGATAAAGATTTCTAAAGGCAAGTGAGAATTTGCATGATCTGTGTGCAAATGCCATGAACAGTTCCTTCATATTGCATAACTTTATCCCTTTTTTATTATTTTTAAGAGCTAATTAATAGAATTTCTCTTTTCAAAAAGAGATCATAATTTCCTGAAGGTTGCTGTTCAAAATGTTAAAATAACCCAACTGAAAGCAGTTGAATTTAACACCTCATGAGAACTCTTCTAACCATTTCAACTTACTCGTTTCAGGTGATGCTGTGAGCACATGAAGAGTGTGCAGGGACTCTTGGCTGCCTCTGTGATTTCCATCCAGAATTCCTGCTTCATCTATCCTGCCTGTCAAAATTGCTTTTCCAGGCTGATACTGGATTCCAGGAGGTATGTCCTGTTTTGGGAATCATGTACTGATTTCCATTAACTTGGGGCTGTCTGTTAGCTGAACACTAAACAAAGTGGTGAAAATCCAGCCCCTCCAGACCAAATCCTGATTTTATTTTTTCATCTCATTCTACATGTGCAGTGCACCTGGTAGTCCTGTATGCCTCTTCACTGAGTGCATGTCCAGAAAGGGATGAGCTTTCTTTTTTAATTGCAGTGGTGGGTGAAATCTCTGACACACAGAAGAACAGTAAATCAATGAATGTCAGCACTAAATGGAAAGAGCTGACTTTGTAAAACAAGGATATCTGTTGTTTCAAATACTGAAGTACAAAATAACAGTGCTGTCTCCTGATTATTTTTTAAACCTAGGTATTTATACTCAAGCTGTAGGAAGAAAAATCCCAAACCAGAATGAAATGTGAGAAAAATGCGCGCAGGAAATTCAAAATTGCACCCCAACAATATCTCAAAACCCACTGTCCCTTCAATTTCACAACAGGCTAGCATTTAATAAATCAGTGAAAGAAACCAGAGGCATTCTGTCATAACACACACATCTTGCTCTGAGCCTTTGGTAAGATTAATGCCTCAAGGAGTAAAGAATAAGGAAAAAATCTTATAGTTTTTAATGGAATATTTGATACATTATAGTAGTAATATTTACGGCTGCAGATAAATTCTTGCCTCAGCAGTGATGAACAGAAGTTCATCTATTCAATCTTTTTTATCCTTCTACTGTCTTTTGTCAGGTTCATCTGTCTAAAATGTGGCTGCACAGGTGAAGCTAAAGATGCAAGCTACAGATATAGATTGTCCCTAAAGATTGCTGACACTAATGATTTGTTTGACATCACTGTTTTTGGAAGTTGCTTAGATCCATTCTTTGGGGTCACCGCAGAGAATCTGCAGAGGTAAGGAATAGATTGTCTGACCATATATCTGCTGCTATTTATTCAGCCTAAAAAAAAGCTGCAATGAGCCTAGATGGTGGGAAGTAACTGCTGAAGTGCTCCCTTCCAGCATTTTCTTGGTACCCATCACCTTGAGAAAGTGTGGAAGTTTGTTTCTTCCTGAAATCTTGATGTTTTGATATGGATTACTTCTAGGTAGTAGAAGAAATCTTCCACTTGTCTATTGAAGGCTGCTACTACCTGTTAAGTGAGCCTCACTGCTTGATTGGTTTGGCTTCTTCTTTGTGTCCTTTCTCCTTTTTTTTGAGATGATTGAATTTCCTTTGTTTAAGTAAGTTGGCTTTTCTAGATAGAGCCTCTGGATTTTATTTTCTAACAGTTTGAATGCACCTTGTGACTATTTGGCAGTATGACCAAAGAAGGGATTTCTTTCCTGAAGAAAGAAGGGATTTCTAAGAAAGTCTGTTAGTCCTCAGACGATGACCACCCACATTATAGGTTTCAGATATTCTAAAATCTGAAAAAACAAACAACAAAATGTGAAACTGCCAGGATGGGATATTCAGATGGATTCCCTGCTTCTTTCCCTAGTCTGTTACTTTCCCAATGCCTGGCTCAAAGATGAATTGTTTGTAGTGGCATATTAGCAGATTAATGACATGCTCATGACAAGCATTCTGCCCTACACTGCTGTACTGCTGTTAGCTGTGAAAAGCACTTATTTCCAAGTCTTACATGGATACCACCATGCTGTAAAGGCTGGGCAGGAAGGATGTGTAAGGAATAGCAGCATCTTGACCAGCATTGTACAGTCACCGTGTTGGCAGAAAAATCACAACCATGTGGGGAACACCTGAAAGTTGTGTGTGTATTAAATTTGTTCAGAGTGGTTGTTTTGCTTACTTTATCTCACTAACAAGTTAGGTGAACTAAAGAATTTAATTTATAGGTTCATGGTTTTCCTGTTTTCATTGTGAGTTTAGTTGAAGCTAGCACAAAATCTTTTCCTTACCATGTGTTCTCATTGACACTATATTACAGCTAAAATGCTACGTAAGGCTTCTTCCTCTGTTGGTCCAGTACTTCCATGTGTTTTTATTCTAGGTATATGCAAGACTTCAATCAGCTGTCAGGAGAAACAAACACAGAGTCAACTACAAGAGCATTGGTTCAAGCAGTGGAAACCTGTTTCATTGGAAAAAGGTTTATATTTGGAGTGAAGGTATCTTTTAATCCACATTATGGCCTTTTAGTGAGTTTCTGTAGCCAGTTAGGGGCATAGACTGAGTTATCAAAGCTTCATGTACAGCTTCTTTTGGGAATTTGAGAAAATATAAGGCTAGGACATGAGAAGGACTCGGCTTCTTTTCCCCAAAACTCCTGTCGTTTTGGGTTTTTTTTGAATGAGTCACATCCAAAAATCATCTTGAATGGCAGTAGTCAGCTTAACAGCTTGTCAGGGTGCTTTTTGGAGAGCCTGAGCAATGCCAGCTCCTGTGCATATCAGTAACAGCTTGGAGCCTGTAAAAAAACCATGTACGGTTGGAGCAAGAAACAGACTCCCTTTCCAAGCACTGCCCTACCTTTCCTATGCCATGTATTCTCCTTTCCAGTCTAAAATGTAAGGACAAGCACATCCCCTTGTAGCATTTTAATATTTCTGGATTTAAGAGCATTTTCAAAATGTTGTTAAAGTACAGCTGTTCACCATCTGCACTGGTGGCTCTTTTAAGTGTTGAACACACTTTGAAATATTAGTTCTTAGCAGTATTTATATAGAAACAGTCTTCAAAGTTCTCTTCAAGTGGTGCTTATGTGAGTCATTCATATGATGAAATCTGTGAATTAAATCCTACCTGGCAGGTGTTTTGCCTCTCCCACAGGTTGTATCTGAACTGAGATTTTTCCTGATGTACAGCTTATTACTGATCTTAAGTAATGGAAGTTGGAGAACTTCTTGGATTAATTTTACTTACCTGCAACCTTTGACCAGGTCTCTGGGCCTGATGCCTTGACAAATATAACTAATCCTAGATATCACCAGCCTTGTGGCTGCTCCTGCACACACAAGAGCTGAACACACATTCAAAGACTTTGCTCAGACCTTGGCTGTAGACATTTCTGTATAGTTGTGTTCAGCTGTTGTATATGTCCCAGATAATACTCAGAGTCAGCATAAGATACTTTTAAAGACTTACCTACGAGGATGTTATCCTTGGCTAACAGCCTTCAGCCTTAAACCTTGCACAGACTGAGGGAGGAGGAGGGTTATTGGAGATAACTATATCTGCTTTTTGGCCTCTGTGGCTTTGCCAGACCTTGAGGGGTACATGAGAAAGGGTTTATCCACTTCTTAAAATATGAGCTAATTCACTCTCTGTTTAATGTCGTTTTTCACCTGTAATTTCAGTGTAGAGAGAAGCAGGTTTTATAAAGAATTGCAGTTGAAGCTCCTTTGAAACACTGCTCTCTGAAAAAATCAGAGCAGATAAAGGTCCTAGCTTATTTCCCTTTCACGGATGTAGTGCACAGAAAGTACCACGCTGGCTTTGGCAGCTGAGCTGCCAAGTCAAGTGTCTGGTACCACAGTGCTTTGTTTCAAGTGCTGCCCAGTGCCTCCTGCATAAAAGCAAAGCACTGGCCTGAGGCTGCCAGCCATTCACACTGAACTGCACTAGAGGAGGCCCGGAAGCATTCAGTGCCCTAAAGGGAGGAAGAAATTTTCTGTGAAGTCCTTTCTCAGAGTTCTTGGTTGTTTTTCCAGCTCTGAAATTTGTAATTGCAACAAGCAAAGAACCTTTCACTGTGATGCCCTTTACAGCCTTTGCCAGGGTTTATTTCCCAGGGAGGGCCTTGTGTGACAGGCTGTTTTGTATTCTCTCCCCTGCAGATCCTGACAAAAAGGGAGATCTAAATTTACTCCTGACTTGAAAGACATGTGTTAATATTTTTTTCTTTAAGTTGATTGGTTTGTTGTTTTCTTTCCCCCCACCCAGGTTTGTGCAAGGGAAGTTGGAGGCCATTCTGCTGCCAGCAGCACCTTGCAGAAGTGTTCCAGAATTAATAGAAGTACAAAAAGCCTTGTGGCGTGCCAGATCTTCCCGCCAAATGCTGCTGTTACTGGCTTCACTGTTATCAGCTGCTTAGATCGTCTCCTGCAGTCGGCAAAATTCAGGAGCTGTAAGGACAGCTCATATTTACCTGATGCGTCATCAGCTCCCGTAGATGAACCTCTCAGTGAGCTCAGCAGCTTGTCTAGCCTGAGCAGGAGCTCCTGTTTTGTTCAGTCTAGTGGCAGGGAAAGTTTTTTAGGGTGCTGGCAGCAATCCTTAGGTCTGACTTCATCTGTTGCTTGGGTAACAGTGGAAGACTTTCCCACTCTGGAAGTGGGAAAGCTGGTGAGTGAACAGCAGGAACAAGAGGAGAAGCCTGTCTCTGTAGAATTGGGCAGTGTAAGCCTCAACAATCAAACTCTTTGGGACTCACAGTTTCTGATCTCTTCTGTGAAGGAAGGGGATAAAGAGCAGGATAATGAATCGAGTTCACAGCTTAGTTGTACTGATGGTATCTCTGCAACTGATAAATTGGAGAGAGTTTCCTCTTCAAACACCAAATGTTCACATGGAAACAGTTCCAAGTTGTTACAACATCCCTTGGAATCTGAGGTAAAAAACAATTACCCAAAAACTAATAGTAGAGATTATTGTTACGCAGAAAAATCCCACAATGCCCTTGTTTGCAAGAGAGATGCCTCAGCTCCCAATCACGTAAATGTAGCTGGAGTGTCTCAGAGGGACTCTGTGCTTTGGGAAGAACTCCCATTCTCAGAAAGCCTAAATGAATTGTTAGCCAGAATAGAGGATGGCAGGAGTGTTGTAACGTCACCCACCCTTGATGCAAGCAAACTTGTCCATCTTGAAAGTAGCAAGTTAGGTGTAAATCTTAAGGAATCATATTCCAAGCAAGCTGTAGGTGATTTGCCTGCAGCCAGTGTCTCAGGGAGGCTCTTGCCACCAGCAAGGAATGACAGCTGGGAGACCACAGTTTTTGCTTGTCTTCAGTCAAATGCAAACCCTCCAAGTGATGTCTCACAATATGAATCTTCCCCTAATGATTTATCTTCAACCCTCACAGAAGGTGGAGCATCCTCACCAGTTACACCAGAGCCTTCTGTTTCTCAGAGCAGATATGTGCAGTCCAAAGAAGCAAATAATGACCCTGCAGATTCATCTTGGTCTTTTATTAGGCTGCATGGAGAAACCTCCTGTTCAAAAAAGAGCAAGACAGCCCCCTGTGTGCATTCTGCATGTGAAAGCTGTTTAGCTTCTTGTGAAAATAAAGAAAACTATTCTACACCAAGCCAAAAAACAGATCTTGCACTCACAGGGGCCCAGGTCGCTGATCCACCAATTCCCAACAATGCAAGAAGTATATATAAAAGAGAATTAAAACCATTGACAGAACTGCCAGATAATGCCTTCAAAAGTGTTAGTAGGAAAGAGCTGCAGTGGAACAACATCCTCCCTGAAGGCAGATACAATGCTTCTGCTGATCTCTTTGATGCAAGTGTAAGAGATGTGGCAAAACCTGTGGAATTCTTAAATAAATCATGTAATTCTTTAATACAGGAGGATACTTTGACAGAGAAGGTCACAGCTGAATCAGTGCTTTCTCCTGGAGGTGTTCCTTGTTACAGTTCAAAACTGAGCTCATCCCTGCCCAGGTCCCCTCATGCTTTTAGCAAGCACAGCACACCTGTAACTTACTCCTTTTGGGATTCAGAATGCAGCTCAGTTTGTGCTCAGGACTTCGTTCCTTATTCACAGTCAACTCCTATGACTAAACCTCTGCAAAAACTATGGCCTGTTGGGGAAAGAAGCTCTTTTATCACCCTCTTCACCCCTAAAAATCCAACTAAAATCCATTCCAAATGCAAGCGATCCAGGTCTTCCTTTCAGAACACTCTGCTGCAGCAGCTTACCAGCAAGGTAGTGAAACGTGAGAGACCAAGGAACAGGAAAGACAAAGACAGTGGTAGCTCTGCTTCTCAGAAGTTCCTGAGCAGCCAACTGCCTGCCAGCTTGGAGGAGTGGATCCCTGCATCTTCAAACAAAGGGCTGAAACCAACTGCATCTTTAAATTTAAAAGCAGTTAGCTGTGCTGCTGACTTGCAATCCACCTGTGGGCACACTGGCAGCAACCCTATTTCTGAAAGCAGAAAGAACGGTGAAAATGATGAATCTCTCATCCAAAATGAGAGAATAAGCCCTGGGGATAGAGCCAAGATTCTAACAACTCCTTTATCTGCAAGTGTCACCAAGACCTTGTTTTTAAATGATCCTGTCCTGAAAACTTGTTCCCCTTCAGAAGGTGAGAATCACCTCTCAGGTGGAAATTATTCAGGGGTTGTGTTGGAAAGGCCAACTGTCTGGTCCCCTGAGCTGTTCTTCCAAGCACGGACCCCTTTTACCAAGAAGCCAGAATACTAGGAAAGATACATTTCTATGCTGTGTTCTTTTTAATTTTTTTTTACTTTTGGGAAGGATCTGGTAGAAGAAAAGAGCTATTTAAAAGTTAAATTGTTGATACACCTGTCAGCATATGTCTTGCAAAGAGGAGATAGGTTCATTTTCAGACCTTTGTACCACAGAGATGAGGGAAATTAGAATTTGTAGTTACTATATTTTCTTGAAAATTAATTAGGATGTGCAATAAACACTTTTGTAAATGTGTGAGTATTGACTAGATCTCACTTCATAAAGTACAAGTAGGTGAAGTGTTTTAATGTTCACTGCTGTCTTCTCATCACAAGAGCAGCACTGGAATCCATGTCCACTCCAGATTCTTGCCTGTTGACTCTTGGGAGAAGGGCCAAGTTTTCATGGTGCCTTGTATCTGAGCCCATTGGGATCCTGTGACAGCCTTGAGCTGGGTGGAGGGGGCCATCCTGAGAGCTTGGTAGCAGCCCCAGTTTTCCTACAGTCTTTTTCAAGTTAAAGACTGCCAGTGGCAGGCTCCTGACAGTGTCTTCCCTCTCCATGTTTTTAGGTCTTCTGTATCCCAAATCCAAACCAGCTGCATTTAGGATCATTGAACAGAGAAATCTTGGATTTGCTGCTTGTAAGCTTGTACATCAAGTCCTGCAGAAGGATGTGGGAATCTGGTGGCACAGGATCTGAGCAGCCTGAAAATGCTGACATTTTGTTGTGAGTGAGTGTTTTAAGGTCCTACTGTGGCCCAAGGGGATGCACCACACTTGTAGAACCAGAAACAGACCTAAAAGTAACTTCTGCACCTTCTAATCAAATGCTTTTCCCTTGAGAAACGGGAGGGAGAAGGGTATTTGGAATCAAACAAGCTTCTCCTGTGGCTGAGCAGGATATAAATGAGGTACAGCCTCTCCTGCCAAGGGTGCAGATGTGCTGAGGCTGTGGGCTGACCCAAGAAAAAGTTACACGTGGTTATGCAGCAGGTCTGCACAGGTAAATTCCTTCTACAAAGAAGCTTTTTCAAGTCAGCATTGGTTGGTTTGGTTATTTTTTTCTCTCCTTATTTACAGTTGAAATCTAGGCACAGGTTCAAAGACTTGCCTGGTGTTGAAAGGACATGGAGCACAGCTCTGGCGATCACTGAAAGACCTTATCTCTTCTTGCTGTCCCCAGCAAGAATCTCAAGCAAACCGCAAAAGTTCCTCTGGTATTTAAGGATCCTGAAACAGCAGATGGCAGTGGAAAGAGGCACAAGATTTCTTCTGACAGGTCCAAGCCTAGAGCTCTGCAGTCCCTGAACCCTAGACATAAACAGAAGAAAAAGGAACATCTTGTTATAGCAAAGAGAGAGACAGAAAAAGAGCAGAATTAGACATCACAATTTTTAACAATGTTTAATTTATAAGCTGATGATGTTTTTAAACTGACAGAGGGGAAATTTAGGTTAGACACCTAGAAAAAATTCTTCACCATGAGGGTGGTGTGGCACTGGCACAGGTTGCCCAGAGAAGCTGTGGATGCGCCATCCCTGAAATACTTCAAGGCCAGGTTGGATGTGGCTCTGAGCAAGCTGGTGTAGTGGAAGGTGTCGCTGCCCATGGCAGGGGGATTGGAAGAAGATCTTTGAAGTCCTTTCCAACCCAAAACCATTCTGTGGTTTGGTGACCAAGGTAACCTGTGAGTGCAGTTGCTTGCTAAGTGTGGTGCCAGTGACAGCAGAGCATGGCAGGGCTGTGCTGTAAAGGACACAGGGCTCCCTGTGAAGGCCTCCTGGCACAGCCAGAAGAAGTTTTTAAGACCTTCACAAGCTGCTGCTGAGTTGTCTAGCTGAGCTTTAGCCCAGCAAATCAGGGCACCAAAACCACACCAGGGCTCCTTTAGTCAGGGTAGGGCAGGGCTCCAGGATGAGGCCAAGTGAAAAGGCCTGGACTCATACCTGCATTTACCAAGTGCTATGCCTATTGAAAAGATTTTATGTATTGCAAATAAAATCCTACTTGATGAACCCTTGGGGCAAGTGGAAAAGAAGGAAGAAATGTTGTCTGCCTGGAAATTATAAATCTGCATGGATAGCTTATGTAGAAGAAATGAAGTGAAAGACAGCATTACTCATACCCAAATCACTGAGCATGGGGAAGGCAATACAGAAAAAGGTTTTAAGGCATCATAAGACTTGAAACCAGTTTTTTCTACTACAGCACATAATAGGGTACTGCAGTTATCACTGGCTCTTTAAGCACTCCCTTGTGATGAACTGGACAGATACCCCTTCTATCACCAGGAGTTAGAGCTGATCCAAGTGAGACACCAGAGACTTGATGCAGCTGGCTGTGAAACACTGCTAGAGCTTCTACATCATATACCTGACAGCATCTTGACATGAAATGCTTGGTCCAGCATGAGTGATTTTTTTTGACATACATGACAGCATCTTGACATGAAATGCTTGGTCCAGCATGAGTGATTTTTTTTTTCAGCAGACAATTCAATCACATACTTGGGTAAGTGATAGCTTTGGTGCAGGCTGATGTGATTATAATTATAAGCTTTTACAAAAAGACTAAAGCTCAGCATGTTTAATTCTGAGGGTAATAAAACTCCTGAAAATGCACACTGGGTTTGTGATTGATTCCCTATGCATAGAAATCCATAAATCAAGACTAGATTTTAAATTAGGCAGGACTGTCTGTGCCATACCATTGAAATTAAAGCAGGGCACTCAGATCTCCTGTGCTTTGTGCAAGAGGACTGCACACAGAGTGAGAGCAAAAAGTATTGTTGTGTGACAGGCCCCTGTCAGCAAGATGACATCTTCTGGGCAGAGCTCCCCACATGCTTGGTAGAGAGACTTTGACCATGAGAGGATGGTAGAGAGACACAAAAAGCTCTCTTGCTTTCGCTCCTGTAGTCAGTCAGCCTTGCACCCTGGGCAGCTTGTTCCCTTTTTGCAGGGAGCCTTTGTGTGCTCCCGTTCCTTTCACCCTCAGCAAAGCCTGGCACAGGCTGTACCCTTGCTGCTACACCTGCTGAACAAGAAGAAGGTTGCACATCCCACTGGTTACATGCTCCTTGGAAGGAAGAGCTGCCACTCTTTACATACCCCTTACCTTTCCCCAGGAAGAGTTTAGTCTGTTTTCTCCAGCCTTCACTCCCAAAAGCAACACACTCCAGCCCTCCTCTCTTTCAGTAAATATTCACATCCCAAGAGGTCTGAGCATCTGAAGGATGTTTTCTTCCCCTCCTTTTGCCTCCTACCTACCTAGAAGCATACAGGGACTTTTCCCTATCCAAATGCCTCTCTGTTCTCTCACTGACTCAAATTGCCAGCTTCCTGGGGAAGCAAGAACAGATGGTCCAGCCCTCATGTCAGACATTTACCAAGGAAGGAGCTTCAAGGTCAGTGGAAGAGGCAATAAAAGACACATGGTGTCTTCAAGCTTCATAGCTCATTTCTCAGCATCAGTGTTAGCAGGAGTCATCTTTGATGTGGGGCAGAGCACAGGGGAGGAAACCTGAGCCCCAGAAGAAGTCCGAGCACAAACTTTATGTATTTACCAATAGAAAAAAAGCCTTAAACTGGGAGATCTTCTGCAAAAGGATTCTAGGCCTTGAGGAAGACAGTTCACTGGGGAACTCCAGGGGAGTTGAATGAGAATGAAAACAGCAAGTTGAAGGCTGAACAGTAGGAATGGCATTAAAAAACAAAAAATGACTAGGTCAAGGAATAAAAGACAACCAAAGCATCCAACCGTCATCCAACATTTATCCTACACAAATCCAGCATCTTGCATGAACAAGAGTTTAACCTGCCACAGGTTTGCAAGGTCAGTGGGTGGAGGGTGCCTCTGTCAAAGGCCACCCTCTAGTGCCTGATGTTGGCATTTCTTTGGCATTTCAAATCTCTATAATTTCTCCTAATTTAGAGGGTTTTTTTTTCTCTTCTACTGCAGAGGGACCCTGCTCCCATGGGCAGCAGCTCCACATCTGCTCTTTTTGTGAGGTCTCAGTGCTGCAAGAGCCTCGGTATGCTCAGCCCAAGCAGAAAATCCTCAGTAGCCATTCATTTGCTGGTCTAACGTCAAATCACGTCAATTGAACGCTTTGTACTTAAGGCAACTTTGCTTTGCAGTCCAAATCAAAAACCAAACAAATCCAACACTTTAGACACCAAGTGGAAAGGATTAAACATTTATTTACATACAGATACACATGTAAGCAATTTCTAAGTATAAAAAGGACATTACAAATAAATGTGAAGCATCATACATTCATCATCCTGGTCATCCAAAACACATCCCTTTCTCAAGCCCACTGTACCACACATGACCACAAGAACTTAAAGAAGAGACAAGCCAAATGCTTCTGACAGTGAATGATTCACAGTTTGGTGATTTGCTAACACCTATACCCTCCCCAAAGACAGCACTACCCCACCAATGAGATCAATTGTCTGACCAGCTGTAGTGCATTTTCTCCACTGAAATGGTTGTGCTTGATCAACAGAAACCACAGCCTCTCCTCATCCTTCTGGCCAAATGTTTAGGAATGAGGGTTCTTGCTAAAATTCTGTACATTGTGCTAAATTCACAATTGTTGGGGAAAAGACAGCAGACCTTTGTGGGAAAAACTCCAACACAGAAAATTCCTTTAATGCTGTGACTTCCCTGGCATGGAAATCACAAACAAAATGCTGCTGTTAGTGCTTAAGCAGATTTTTAAACTACAATTCAAATTATAGTTGATGGTGTAAAATATACTTTGTTCATGCTATAAAAGAAATTACGAGTTTCAATGTTGATTTGATAGTAATCAAAGCTGAGGGTAATTCAGGTTCTCCTGAGGAAATGAAGATGCCTTTGTAGCATCTCTAAAAATTATCATAGCTTTCAGGAAAGAGGAAATGTTTTAGATTCAAAAGTCTAAAGGTAATGCAGAGCATGACAAACTTGTCAGTTAGATAACATTACAAAGGGAAACAAGCCAGTAAACATAAAATTAAAATGCCTACTCAAAGTATTAATGAATTCAAATGAGAACGGGGTGAGTCTTTCTGTATAGATCAAAAGCAGTTTGAAAAAAATCTCATGATCTGCAAATTCACAGAACAGCCAAATATGTGTAGCAGAACAGAGTGAAGTGGAAATAAAAGAGCAGAAAGAGCCTTGTCCCATATTGACAGCTGAGTGACTACAGCTGCTCCAATCTCAGGGTTTGGGGTTTTTTTTTCCCTTTTGTAAACAGCTATAGAGAATAAAATGGATGTGACATATCTGCAGTGCATCTTATTATGCTAAAAACTATGGCATATTTTAAACTACTTCCCTAATATTCAGAGATATACTTGTCACTCCCAATCAGCATAGTAACAAGCACTGGGCTTGCTCCATACTCTCATTAGAGGGCCTTTTCTCCACTAAAATGTTGGCTTCAGGAGTTAGTTTTCCCCCTTCAGTGCTGGCTGTGTGTGGGGGTGAGTAGTAACCCTTTCCTCCCAACAGTCTGTAAGAGCTGGGGCAATGGCAGTGCCTGAAATCATAGCAGCTCTCCCCACGACAGACCAAGTATTTTATTCTCCCTCTATTAAAAGGTAAAACTGGCATTTCCTCTCCTCTGCTTGCCCTTCTGTAAAGGCTCAGCTGCTGGGACACTGCGTTCACTAAATCTCAGTGGCAATGATGCAACCCCAGCCTGCAGAGACATTCACAGCACCCCCTCCCCAGTGACAGCTCCTCCTCCACACCACCCCAAGTCTCACTGGATGGAGAGCAGCACCCACCTACTCACTAGAAAGCAACTCATTTGCACCAAAATCCCATAAATTCTGAGTGTCTGAATCTCTTTTATTGGTCCAGTAAGAAGGGAAGTATTCCTTATAGGGTGTCCTGGCTGGAAGGGGCTTGTTGAATTATTAACTTTATGTCCATAATAAGAAGCTCAAGGTGGCACAGAAAATGAGTCTGCTGCTTTTCTTTCTAACTAAAGCAGGAGTCAGATCTAGTGTTTCATGCAATCAGATCATCTTTCCACAGTGCTTGAGGCATGAGGAGTAATTAGAGAAGAGCAGATTCATTGATGAGGGGTACTAGAGGAATCAAGCTTTGAGAAGTGCCGAGCTTTGCATTCGTGTGACACCAGACACTCCAGAGCCCTCGACTGCTGCCCATGAAAGCATAAGAATACTTTTAACATCCCCTCTGCCCCAGGGAACCATGCACAGCTAAAACCATGACTGACACAGGTTTTGGCCATGTCATTTTTTGCCTGAGGACCGGGCCTTCAGAAAATGCTAACCAGGGACACCACTACTGTGTATTCACGAGTGTGCATGTCCTTGAGAATGTTATCCTAAGATAAGCATAAGTGGAAAAAGCAAAGGTGCAAATGTCAAACTGGCATCTGTTTTTGAGTAATGTTTTAGCACTAACCAGAACTAAAATTTTCTTCTGAGCTTACTGGAAAAGGATAACTTGTTCAAAAAAATGTGGTCACATCCACCAAGTTCTAATTGCAAGTTATTAATGTGAAAACGGAGACAATCTCTGAGTATTCTAAATCCAGCTCCTGTTCATCCACACAGATAAACTGAGCTGTTGATCCTGGCTGTGCTCTTAAAACCAGTCTAATTTGTCACTGACAACATTTACAGCCTAAATTACACTCATTGCACCTCATTTTCTGCCCTGTCTGGGTTATCTTCCCCCAGTTATCCCACTGACTGTATTTGAAGGAGCAAGCTTTAGACATGAGGCTTTTTTTTCTGGATATGTGGCTCCCACTGGGAAAGAAACACACACCTGTAACTCACATGGCACAGTTTTTACTTCTGGTTTAAGTTACAGCTCGTTCACATGAGGGGAAAGGTTGTGATGGCATCTCTGAGTGACAAGAGCTGGTGATCTATCCCAGCTGGATATGGTTCAGTGCAGCAAAGGCAGCTTTGGGTCAGGTGAGTGAGGTGGCGATTAGAAGGGTAAGTCAGAGCAAGGCAGCTGCTGCTTTGGGAGCTCTGCATCATGGTCAGCATGATTACCCTGCTGTCTGCTTTCCCAGCCAAGACACATCGTTAACTGAGGCAGATGTGAGGTCAGTAACATTTATGGTACACTTAGCTACAGCTCAAGTGGATGATTGCATTTCAAAGACTTCACCAGTTCCAGTTGAGGCTGCTCTGCTTAGGATGCACTGCATGCTTATAAGAAATCAAGCTATTGTTTCCCAACCATTCATCATCATAAGACAAGACTCTCCTTCCAAATGATGATCCTTGAACAGCAGCTACAACAATTATTACCCACAGCAACAAGAGGATAGAACTGATGCAAGGAAAAAGGATGATGTAAAACCCAAAATTTGTTGAGATAACAAAGTTTATAAAAAGAGGAAGAAAATATGTTGATTTAATAGGATTTTCACTACTAGAATGGATTAGAGTATTTCCTTTGGCTCCAGAGGGTTTTCTGGTGAGCCCTTATGTACAGAGACATTTAAAAAATTATGGAGTTTCCATACTTGCTCACTGGGAATTCACAAAATATCCTCTAGAAACACCTTTTTGTAACTGAATTAACTCAAGAAAGGACTTTGTTAGTAGAGTTGGTAGGAGCCAATCACAAAAGGCTATTTGTTGCTTTGGCACTAAAAGTAGAGCAATGCAGAATTTCAGACTAAATTTCAAAGCAAACCTTTATGAAAGCCCACAGCAATCAAAATTGAATCTATAGATGCAATTTTAAAAGAGAATGGAGATTGAGATGGATGGAGAAATGGAGAAATGTGCACATGGAGCCATCTCTTTACTTGCATTTTCTACTCCAGAGAATCATTGCAGAAATGGCTGTAGCATTCATTTCTGCCCCACAGCCAGGAGAGGGCTTCTGTGACAGTGTCTCCAGCCATATCTGACCCCGATGGCACCACAGGTCCCCAAAGGGCAGCATATCCTACATGTTTGCTCAGCCTGTTTCAATAGATGGAGAATTTCACCTATTTTCCAACAGAATTCAGTCTCTGACTGCAGGAATCATGCCAGCTTAACATTTCAGACTGATTTATAGACAGTCCTTCATACTGAAAAGAGAAGACAAGTGGAAAAGCAGCTGAACAAACAGCAGTCCTTAGAGATAACAAACAAGGCAAAACCCAGTGGATTTGGCTCTAATTGCATCCCTTGTCAGCAAAAGCTCTGGAAAGCCTGCTGTCCCACGTGTGTGCACCCACCGTGCTTCTGCATCACTAACTTCGACTTTCCCTCTTTTCAAATCACTGTCTCCTGTGTCAGCCCCAGTCTGCTGCTGGCATTACTGATGCTGAAGGAATTCGATAGCCATTAACTGCTCAACCTAGACCAGCAGGAGCCAACTGCTACCAACACAGCCATCTCCAAAAAGACACAAACAGCACCAGCAGGCTGACAGATTTTAGGGGCTGTTTCATGTGTTCTACAGCAAAGAACAAAGTGCCTTGCCTGATAATTTGTCATGTGTGGTTTTCATTAAATAATGATCACAGAGCCATTTATCATTCAGCACAAACACGTATCTGACTGCACACTCAAACAGCTTACCTGGAGGGAAAATCAACACTTCTGGGTTCGAGGTAGGAAGAGGCACCCAGCATCCCCTTTCTTTACAGAGCTCATAATTTCACTTTTTCCATCTTATTTCTTTGACCTGAAGAGTTTGTTGTTTTGTTTTTTTTTTAATTTGAGTTTTTTGTCCCCTAGCATTTTCATGGGGGAATGCAAATATGGACAGAAGGGAGTCATGGCTTGTCTTAGCAAACTCTGTGTCAACACACAATGCAAAACTTCACAGCAAGTACTTCACACCCAGCAATCTGAAGCACGGAATGTTTGGTGGTTTACTCAAGATCAGCCTGACTGAATCAGTGGCTCCACCAGAAATCAGAGTTTAGACCATCCAGCTTTCAGAGATGCTTCTATTAATCTCTGCTAACAGCCTTGCTAAATTAAGCAAACAGCTGCTGATCATCCAGTATTGGCTTCTGCTCGGACACCAACATTGTGCTAAAAATGTCACGAATGGGTCTCATTACAGGACTACTACAAAAATTAACATTCAGCTAGAAATAAGACTGCTCCATGGCTGTGAATATATCACCCTCAAAACACATTCAAGTCCAGCAACCACACTAAAAGCTTGGCTCTTCTGATAGTAGAGAACTTTCCCAGTGAAATTTGGCCCCATTATATCAATTCTGCATGGGTTTTGGATACTTTATCCAGCAAGCATCACAATGCTTTTACTGACAGTTCTCTCAAATATCTAGCAAGGTATTTAGCTGGAGAGCTGATTATCACATAACTGGGATTTTTTATTTTTCAAGACTGCAGTTGATAAAGTTCCTCTTCCAGCTGGGGAGTCTTCAGCAGTGGATCAGACTGCAGAAGAGAAGCCCTCAGTATTACAAGGAAAATTTGGCTGTATGCACTACAGAGATATTCAGAGAGGTACAAAAGTAACTCCAGGAAAGGAGTTACTACAATAAAACACCACTTCTTCAACAAGAGGTGTGTTTGCAAACAGCAAAAAGAGAGCTGAGTCTCAAACTACAGCTTTGGTTTACCACCGTGTAAAAAGCGTTGCACATACCACCATTGCTTCCTTTCAACTTTTTAAGTCTACACAGAATAAACGCTGAAAGGAATCAGTTCAAATTTAACTGGAGAAGTCAGGTCATTTACTTGGACATCAGCCCAACCACAGCACCTCACCCCACCACAAAAGCACATCACTGTTTGGAGATGGAGTCCTTACACAAAGGTTCACTAGCAATAAAAAGAACCAATGCTTTGAGGTTGCCAGTAGGCAGCTTGTCTCCAAAATAGTCACCTACAGATTAGGAAAGCACTGGGAAAAGATTTAGGCTTCTAGAAATCACAAAGTAAATATCCAAGAAAATAAAGTTAGCAGTTTCTGCTATTTGACCAGCTCAGTTTGTTCAGTCACGTTCCAGCCCCAGAAGCGATGCAAGGAGCACTTTAAAATGCATTTACAGTGCTACTCGGCAGGGATGAAGAGTACCTGCCCAGCTTTGATCTTTTTGGAAACCAGGCTAAGTAAGCCATGGGTGTTTTATTGGGCAGTCTCCTTCCTCCTTGATTAAGCTGATCAAAGAGCCCTGCCCTATTTGTTATCAATTATATGCTGACAGGTCCAGCTTCAGGGACTAAGACCTACTACAAATTAAATACACGTGGTATTGATTTTTAACTTGAGTGTTACCTGCCACAGAACACCCTGAGCCCAGCTCTAAAGAACTACCTAAGAGCTGTGCAGAATCAGCTGTCTTGTAGTTGGGTCTCTTCACAAGCTCAAATGAAGCTGCATTTGGTGATTTGGGGAATGGCCAAGAAAATAGATACTGCTCTTCAGCACAGATCACATGGTCCAGTACAGCAGGAGCCACCAAGTCCCACACATTTCCAAATCCTCCCGATTACAACATGAGCAGAGGCTGAAATGGACCAGAGCAGAGCAGCAGATGACGTGTCCCTCAACATCTCACAGAAGCTCTTAATTAAATGTTACCTAAATGACAAACAGGCTTCATACCACAACTTCTACATCTTTGTTTTACCACTAGTCAAAAATGACCTAAAAATTGCAAGAAAATATTAAAAATGGCCATATGACAAACCAATTCCCCCTCTCTCTGACACAGTCAACTTCCTGTTACATATCAAAGGCACAACATGATACAGCCAAAAAAAAAATCTTTCCAGGAAACAAAAAAATCATTTCAAAATGCCTCTTAATTGCTATTTTTTTCAGTAAGTACTTACTGGCAGCTTTTTATGTCAATACAAAAGCTCTGTTATAATCTTCAGTAAAAGCCAAATAATATTAAATTGATTAACTCTAAATTGCAGCATATCACAGCCATGTAATCACCAGGAGAGCTTTATCCAGATTAGCTAAACTGAACTCAAACTCCTAAATATAATAGTTTATGTGCGCATTCACTATCTTCTGATTTCGCTTCCATGCCAACGTGTAAATTTGCAATGCAATGTATGGCACTAGAGGTGGAGTAACATCACAAACGCCAGGGTGCTTCCACTTCAGAGCTTCTGTAGGAAGAAATTGCCTAAACAGCTGCATGTACCAGAGTTTGGGATTAAGGGTGCAAAGCATCAGGTAAATAAAATGACTCTACAGCCCTGAACCTAAAAGCTACCCTAGCAGAGACTGGATACCAACAAGATACTTCAAGAGCACCTCTGAGAGCAATTCCACAAGGTGAGAGCTGGATGGAGCAGCATGGAAGGACACCACTTGCAACCCACTGCTACTTCCACTTACCATCAAACAAACCCTCTACAGATCTGTACTCCTGCCTTCCAACAAGAGCTGTACCTACAGGCTTTGTTTTCCAGCTGCACACATTGCAGACTGCCAGTTCAGACTGTGCTTCCTTTGAACCCTCATACACCATCCATGCACTTTGGTCACGTCTGGTGCACTTGCGCCAAGTCCACCAATCATCTTTCCCAAGGCTAACTTTTTACATCAGGACATGACGAATTAGAGGAGGAATGGTTAATTTATTTATTTTTATTTCTGGAAAGTCTTTTCATCCTTTGTTGGATATCAAAGAAGCACACAGTCCTTTCCAACTATGTTCAGGCCTAGAAAAAGAGGTAATGAGATTTTTTTATTTTTATGAACAGTGCTTATTAGTGTTTTTTTCCTAACCAGTCTAGGTTACACATTCAGAAGACAGTAATGTGGTAAGACTACATTTGGCCTATGGAATATTTGCTGAACTGCTAGCACCAAAGGGAGCGACTGAGCCGTATCCATGTCTTCTTCAATCTTGAAAATACTGCTATATGTAACTTTTTTGTTTATTCCACGTTCATGAAAGTGCCTGTAGATGAGAGACATAACACTATTTCAAACACCAAAGTCCTCCATGAAGACGCAGGGCAGACGTTATGTACACATCCTACGAGCTCGCTCGCTGACAGCCCAGAAGATTGCCAGGGCAGTCCAAAGTCAGTGTTCATTGTTGCGTTTCTTCTTACTTTGTTTTACCTTAAAAAGGATCAAACACATTGTTCTGTAAGAGACATTTTGATCTCTTCAGTATTTTCAAGGAAGGCTGGTCTACTCTCCCACAGAAGGAAACAAAACAGCTCATGTTCTGCATTACATGAAGCACTTGTGCAACTCTTCCTTTTCTGACCTGCTCCAGAGACTGCAAGAAAAATTAAATTTAAACCCTGTTGTATTCTGCTACATTGCCATGCAGCTGGAACCATCAGCCTGCCATGCTTCCAGGACTGTAACCTGACTCTGAGTAAGCCAGATGGATCTGATTGGCAGGAACTCCTTCAAGTAGATAAATCCCAGCATAGAAAAAAAAAATCCACTTGGCCCATGGCAGAAGGGGCAATCACATGCCATCTCTTTAATTAAAATTACAGCAAGTCAAGTAGCTGATACTTTTCCCCTCTCCTGGTAAGGGGGATGAGACATTGTTCACAAGGGTGTTCTGTCGTGCCTCGCTGATCAGCCGGCAGGCCAAGTCCAGGAAGAGTTTTTCCACATTATCCGATTCTTTTGCCGATGTTTCCAGATAGTACATGTCCTGTGCTTCAGAAAACTCTGCAGCTCTTTGCTGGGAGACTTCCCTCTTATCAGCTAAATCAATCTTATTACCTGCATTGATAGAATATTTTAGAAAAAAAGTTAATTTCAAAACCAAGAGAAACTAAGATCTATAAAGAATAAATAAGAGTTTGGTTTGATATATGTATGGACAGTGGTTTGGATTTGTAACGCTTAGTGCCTGCTCTGCCCTCCAAATAATGGATTCCCTGAAACATCCAAGTCCATTTAATATCAGCTCATGTAATGAAATATGCCCTGTAAACATCCAAGCCAGTATGCCTTAATTTAGCACCAGTGCATCTGTTTGCTGCATTATCAACCAACATTAAAGGATTTCCACGCTAACATCTATTGAAAATTCTCCTGTGCTTGCTCTGAGGAGCACTTAAAATGTCAATTACAGCATATGAGACACTAAACGTGATATTCATCATGTTGTTACAAGCTTTTTTAAAAGCCTGGCATGGAAGGAAAGTTCCCTATTTCAATATTCCAGTACAGGATTTGGCTGTGAAGGCTGGAAGAGGGATGGGCTTGCAGGGCACTTGCGGAGGGAGGTGGGGTCAGAAACCAACCCTTTGGTTCAGAGAGATCTGTCTGGCAGAGAGTTGATTAAAGCCTCAAGCCAGCATCTGATATGATTATACAGTATTGCTGGCCACTTAACTTCAAACATGGTGTTTCTGCCATAAATTAATCTTACAACGAAGGTAACAGACCAGGACCTGCAATAACAGGCGGCTCAGTCCACAGACTCAGCAGGTTCGGAAGGAAACCTCTCCTGGCCCCACTGCTACCAGCAATTTTGTGAGAGCTCATGGGAGGAAAAGGTGGTGTTTCCACCAGCAAGCCTTCTCTCATTGCCTTCCCCTCATCCGAGATCTCCTTTCCCAATAAAGCAGCATCTTGGACCACTACCTGCACTGAAGTTACCCTTCTAAACAGATCATTACTCAACACAAGTGATTTATGGGTGTCATCATCTTCAAAGGGTGCATTATGACTAAAATATGATTTATATGCTGTGCTGTAGATGCCATCAATTAACTTAATGTTCACTGAAAAAAATTAATGTACATTTGTTAGTCATTTATTAATTATTTCTGTGCCATTTGTACCCAAGGCCATACTCATGGAGTATGATTTTCTTGTATGGAAGCTCCATAAACCCCATAGCTCACTTGAAGTAGCACTGGGGCATGTTAAACTCCAAAGATATTTTTTTTTTCCCTTTAAAATACACTTTTAGACACCTCTTACAATGACCTAGATTTTTTCATTTAAATAGCAAACTATTAAAGGTGACACTGTAGCATGAAACTTCTTAGCTTTCCCCAAGTTATTTTTCCACTGTTCTTTATATATTCTTGGACCTTTAAAAGCCAAGTCCCAACTATCAGATGCTGAAAGCAGAGCATGGAAAAGCACTGGTAGGCAAAATAACCTTCCCCTTGCTTGTAGCAGACAGATGGCCTGAGGTCTGTTTTGCCTTGAGTTGAAGCTCTACAGATTAATATAACATTCAGCTGTTTATTTTTAGTCTCCCTAAAATCCATGCAAGAACATCCAGTTTTCCAGCACTGCCCCATCTATGATCCACACAACTGCCGTGTCCTGATGCGGTTCCCCGATCCAGACCACTTAAGGCAGGAGTGGTTGCCCCACACCTAGGAGTACAGCAAACTGCAGACAGCAGCAGCCTGAGCAGGTCCTCACTTTTTGTGGAGATCTGAGCTTGGAGTCACAAGGGGAACTGCTCCATCCTTAGCTCAGTGGTGGCTGCACCACCTCCACTTCAGTCCCTCATGGCGGGAAGCGGGAAGCATCCCTCTCCGCATGCAGGAGCCTTACACCCCAGACAGCACCACCCTTCAAGGGGGGCATCCCGAACACCCCTTGGAGCATCACCTGCAGAAGGAATGCTGCAAGCACAGGCGGAAGGCAGGCACAGCTCGCCCCGAGGTGGCTTACCCACGAGCACGGTGATGACCTTGTTGCTGGCGTACTGCTCGATCTCGCGCAGCCACTCGGGCAGGCAGCGGAAGGACTCCTCGCAGGTGATGTCGTAGGTGAGGATCAGCGCGTTGGCGCTGCGGTAGTAGCTCTGCGTGATGGATCGGAACCGCTCCTGGCCCGCCGTGTCCCAGATCTGCAGCTTTGGCCGTAGCAAGGAAGGGTGGCAAAAGGGAAAAAAAAAAAAAAAGGTTATTTAATTTTATTTTTTTTTCCGAAAGCGGCACCATTTTGACCTAAAAAATCCCCTTCAGGGCAAAACCAATGCTGGGAAAGCACTTTGCTCCTCTCCCTTTGGCTTCCCCTCCCCCAGCATTGTTTGTTTCTGTTCCCGCACTTGTGGATTGAAATGCAAGGCACAAAGTCAGCTGGCACTGCAGCCAACAGCCCTGGAAGCCACAGCTCTGCCGGCTTCCATGCAACTTGTAGCATCTCCCTCCGCAGTGGGCAGAGCTGCCAGCCTGGAGGGAGACAGTAACTTCTCCCACCCCTGAAGTCTAGCAACAGCAGCTTCCATTCCCAAGAAGGAATAAGAATGCCTCTCCTCTAGCTCATGGAGGTGGCTGCAGTTATGCAGAGAAAATGCAGCAGTGGGTGAAAAGCACAGGATTGAACAAGGAGCTCAGCTGAACCTTTATCTAAGGTTTGGAACACATTTCCTCTCTACAACTTCAGCCATCTCATCTAGCTGCTCACTGTTTGCCTTCCCAACATATAGAATTGGCTACATCACAGAATCCCAAAATTATTTGAGTTGGAAGGGACTACTTAGCTCCAACCCCCCTGCCATGGGCAGGGACACCTTCCAGCAGACCAGGTTGTTCAAAGCCCTATTCAGCCTGGCCTTGAACACTTCCAGGCATGGGGCATCCACAGCTTCTCTGGACAGCCTGTTCCTGTGTCTCACCACCATCAAAGAACTCATGAATGTTTGCCAAATCCTCTGGATCCACAAAGACAACTTACATTTCCCAATAGAAACTACACTTATACTGGTTTTATATTTTGACCATCTGATAGTTTTTAGTGGGTCATCAAAACCTCAATTCTTCAAAAAGGAAGTCTAAGAAAAACATCCATGATTAACATAATTTCAAGATAAAAGAGTATTTCTCTGCTTCAGCTTTTATTTTTTTAAAGCACTTCTCCTTGGGATTAAATATGTGGAAGGATGATTTCCAGCCAAAATCCTGTGTACTTTGGGAAGAAAAAGGTAAAATATTTGAGATTTTTTTCCATATATTCAGCAGCCTGCACAGAGCAAACCTTATCCTTGGCCAGTTCCAAAGCTGAGCTATGCCAGCCTCTCATCATAAATACGTTAATTTGAAATGAGAGCTCCTGGTAACAGCTTTTAGATGTGGGGTATAATTTTGGAAGAAAAAAACAACACCACTTTTTTTTGCAGAGAAAGTAATTGTGGCTGGCTCACAACTCCTGGGCACTTTTGTGCTTTAATCTCTGGGCAGAGTTGTACTTAAATGGCTGAACGTGGTATCTGCAAAGTAACACACAAAACCATAAGTGAAATGACTTGCACATGAAAACCAGATAATGAATGAGTCCTTGTTAAAACAAACCAGCCTCCAAACTCTGGCAGACAGAAAGATACAGATGATTCTGTTGTTATTCAGCTGTTTCCCAGGAAAAACATTTAATCACTGTCTACTGGCTAACTCCAGCTTATATATATTCTGCCTTTATTGAGAAGATCTCTAAATTGATAAAAAACTTGATGCGAATATGTTCTTCCACTGCTTTAATCTAATGAACACTGAAAGCAGAAGAGACTGTGGGATCTGGGAGAGCAGACATGAGTCTACCTGTGAGCTGGGTGCAAAAGGCAGGGAAGAGCCCCCAGTCTTACAGCCACTAATAAACTCTTCCTGCACCCAAAATACACATCTCACACTTTCCCTCACTGGTCATTTCTGGCAAAATATTTCACAGCAACTATTTTATTTGTACAATTTTTTTTTCTCCCCTAGAATAACCAAAGGACGATGTCTGACTCAGCCTGCAGAAAACCTAGATGTTTATTTTCTTGCTGTCAGCTGATGCTTCCTGCCTTCCCCAACATTTGCACACACATTTAGCTTTCCACCAAGCCCATATAGCACAACCCTCTGCTCACAGCACTGAGGGTGCTTAGCTTGGACCAGAAGGGTTACTGCTATCTGCTTTGCTTCAATTTGTGGGGCCTCTTGCTGCAAGTGCTGCATATATTTTTGGAGTTTCTTGGAAGAAGCCAGGCAGATCAAAATCCCCCACAACTGCACAGTGCTCTCCCAGCTCATTGGGCAGTGAGCTTTGGTAGCTGCTCATATCTGGAAAAGCTTGCACACAGCTTTCATACTAGTGAGTCCCTCTCCACTGACTTTATAATGCTATTTTGAAAACTGGAAAGTATTTTTCCCCAGAAATCCATAATTTATTTTCAAGTCTCAAAACTCTTTTGGTAAACAGCTCTGCTCCCTCATTCAGGATCCCAGCAGACACACAGGGGAGGCTGACCAGCACAGAGGCAAGAGTCATGGCTTGGGCACTGCTGAATGGCTAACAGCCAGAGCAGCTCTGTTCTCTGACTCATTCCTGCTTTCCCCTCCCATTAAATGTTTATTCTCACAAGCACTGCTTACTCAAAAAGTTTCAGCTACAAGACCACTGAAAGAAATCTGTTTGCCTTCCAGACACCAGAGGGCTCATTCCAATGCCCAAATGTATCACACCAAGCTTCCACCAAGGCTTGGTCACTGAAACTGAGCTCCAGCAACTCTAATTTACTGCACTGGTGGGGGCAGGAGAGGGACTTTAGAACCCAGTATTGGCCACGTGAAATACAGCAGATACACCAGCTAGCACTTGCTGAGGCTCTGTGACACACAATCCTGCCCCAAGGAGATTCAGAGAGGACACCTGTGCATTCATCAGACATTTGCAGGGCAGCAGAGACTTCATTTAGCTTGTAGAGCTCCCCTGAACCATCCTTGCCCCTGATACAGCTCATACTGGCACAACTGCTTCCAATATTCTCTTAAGAACTTTGCACCCAGTGTTAAAACAGGATTATATGACAGGAGCAACACTTCAAACACAGACAAATCCTGGGGGTAAGTTCACCAGTACAAACCCCAGACCTCATGTACAAGTGATGTTCTAAAGCTCCAGCAGAATTTGACAGAGAACCAGATGCTTGAAAAGGAGAGGCATCTGAAGTGGATGGGATCCATGCCCCCCAGGACTGCTTTTCTCCCTATAATGACCAGGACAGTCTTGAGGCCGCTGATTTAAACTATGTATACAAGACAGAACAAATTCCACCTCTAGTGCAGCGATCACACCATTTACCAGCTCAGATCCTCTGAGTTGCTTCACTGGAGCTGCTTTTGGCTGAGAGAAACATCTCTGCTGTCTGAAGAGTTTGGGACAAGCAGCAATCATATCCTGGCCAGCCCTGCTGATGAGCATCACAACCAACAAGCTGAGCAGCAGCACCACCTGAGCTACACGTGACCCTCTCTGCTTCCCTGCTGCTGCTCTGGCCCATTTGCACAGCCACGTGCTGAGTATAAACTTGGTCTTTAGCAGGTGAAGGATTTTCTACCCCTTGTCCTTCACCTGCTCAGGTGGAGAGGAAGTGCTTCACCACCACTTCCCATAGGTTTGTAAACTCCTCACACAGCAGAGTCACAGCTTGCTGACATGACCACAGCTCTCAAAATATGTCCTAAACTTAGCAACACAACACCCCATTATCTTCTTAAACCCCTCTGTGGTGCTGTGGTACAGGTTAAAAAAACCCAGGGCTTAAAATCTGCCCAAGTCCACTGTTTCCATGCCATCACTTACACAAGCTTAAGAACAGGTCTCAATGTCACACCCAGCCACTGTCACACTGGTGCCACTCTTGGGTTTGATAAAGACAGCAAGGGAAAAACTGCTGGTTTTCACTTTGATGCCCCTGAATTTCCTGCAGGCAGAGTAAATCCAGGAGAAGCTCAGGGACCATGGACATCTTGATATTAGAGGCTCAAATAACTGCACTTTTTTTTTTCATCTCAGATACCACAGCAACTCAAGTGAAATCTCTACTAATGAACAAAGTGTCAGCAGCCAACATTTCTGGACTCTGGAACCCAACCATGGACCCCATTAAAGCATGAGATCGGTCTCCAATCTCATGCTTTGTGTGTTTTGGCCCAGGCAAAGTAGCTCTCTGCCAAGTGATGCCCAGGCTCAGTTTGGGAGTCAGCTCAGGACAAGGACAGTTTCCCAGAAGTGGCTTCCATGCTATTTTAGAGGGTGAAAGAGTTCAAAATATGGAGAACTTTGCCCTTTGCAGTCAACCTGTTGGCTGAAACACAAGTACTGTGATCAGCTCTGCTTCTCCCAAATCCGTAACTTTGCAGAAGTGGAAGATGAGCCTCGTTGTGCAGAGCCACACAAGTCCAGGTGTCTGTTCTCCTCAATGGCCATCTTGGGAGCTCACAGAGGAAGACTTTCTTCAAGCACATCCCGGTGGGAATGCAACAAAATACTGCTTACCAGAAACACAGTGAGCAGAGGCTGCACTGAAATGCTTCTTTGGGCTTAAGCTAGGCATGATCTCACTGTCTCCTAAGCAAGGACAATAGTTTTGCAAGGTCTCCTTGTTCCATTTTCTCCCCTCCAGCAGGTTCACTTTTACAATCCTGATAGTAATGGAGAGGGGCACATGGACTGATAGAACCTGCATTGCCCAAGCCATGCCAGACAGCCCTGACCTTCCTCGAGTGTCTTCCAGCAGAGGAAGAGCTGCAGCAAGAAACCTCAGCTATGGTAGTGCCATATGAATTTACATTTTAAATCATGAGGCTCCTACCTTGACTTTTTCACCGTTTATCTCCACAGTTTTAATCATAAAGTCAACCCCAATCGTGGCTCCTTGCCCTGGTGGGAAAAGCCCCTGGAAGAAAACAAGAGTTTGATTAAACTTATTTCTACAAGACAAAAGTCTCACTGGGTGCCAATCCTCACCCTCTTCCATCTTCAAAACTATTCATCCCATGTCCACTTCCCATGACACTTACTTCCATTGCATTCAGAGTGTGACATTTCCCCAGCATGAAGGTTACCATAAATTCAAATTGTGTTTTCTCTGCCTTATACATCCCTAATTATACAGCAAGTCATCGACTTCAGAAGTAGGAGCACAGGAAAAGAAAAGGAGGAATAAAGAGAGGGGGGAAACCCTTCTGTATAGCTGGAAGAAGCAGGGGAAGGATGAGGACTTTCCATCCTCCTTCCCAATGCACTGAAAGGTGTATGAACACCTTTGTGGGATGAGATGCATTTGTAACTTCATGCCTTCCCTTTTCCCTCCACAGCACCCTATGGCACCAATAGGCATTTCTGGCAGCTCTCAACAATGGGGTCACAGCACTTCAGGAGTGAAGAACAGTAGTGCCAGCCATCACCAGTGCCACAGCAATGGCAAGGGACAGCACAGTGCTGGTGGTATTTGATTGCAGCACCATCAGAAAGGAGCAGCAGCAAACCAAACGAGAGCCTTTTGATTTCTGGTCTACCAAGTCATGTTGATCTTGGGGCACATCCATCCCCTACAGCAGCTGGGCTGCCAAAGAACAAGCAGCAGAAGTTGCCAAAGATTTTTGCTGCAAACCTTTTGGGTATGACTAGCTTTATTGCCACTGGCTGCCACATGTTTTCGGACAGCATCTAAAATCACTATAGCTTCAAAACTAAAATTAACAGTGAAGGGTAAAATCGCTGACAATTCCTAGTGGAGAGTACAAAACCTCACAATTTGTGCTTTATTATGCATCATGCAAAGTCTTCCCTTGCCCTGGATCACAGAGGCTATTCTGCCACAAAAAAGGACACTGGACTAACAGCTCAGGACCCAGATTATTTATTTACTAATGACAAATAAGAGGGAGCACTTTGTGCAGCAAAGGTTGGGGAGGAGACCAGGAGATGTGCTGGTCTTACATCTGGTCCAGAACACCACCAAAACAGGAGGAGTTGTCCTGGTGGCTTTTCAGAGGGGACTTTCCACCCTCAGAGAGGAATGAAGTTTCTCCAACACAAGCTCCAGAACAGGGCCAGGTGCAGCGTTAGATACAGATGCACTGCTTGTGCCAGTATGTCACTGCATGTGATGCATGCACCAAGAGCGTGAGCAACAAAATTCTTTGGAGCTGTGATGCTGGCAGAGCCCTCAGTGCAGAGCCACAGCTCCCATGCCAGTGCTGTCCCCATCCCAACATCCCACAGTCCAAGAGGCAGCCAGCCTTACCTGAGTGAAGCGACGGACTAAGCAGGTCTTCCCCACCCCGGCGTTGCCGATTAAAACAATTTTGAAGAGGAAATCATAATCTTCCATACTCATTTACGCAGCTGCAAGAGAGACAGAGAGCACGACGCTGTGTGAACCGAGCCAGTGGGGACATGCCCTTTTATCCCAGCTGAACTTTATTACTCCAAATATTCAGAACAAAGGTCTCTTGGCACACACATGGATCCTTGATAAGGGAGAACACTACTTTTCACTCTGAGCCGGGGCATCCACGTAGTCAGAGTCAGCTGCTGTGAAACCTTGGCCCCATTTTGGTCTCACCTGGCTTCCCACAAGTTAGGGATGCTGGTTTCAGCTTTCCAAGCAGTGCTCCACAAACCCGAGACACTGAATCCTAGATGTTCCCAAATGTTTGTTTCGCTTTTAACTACATCATCTCCAAAGGACAGCATGGACTTTATCACACTGTCTGAGGACCATGTAACTGACTCCTGTGAGGGAAATATCCCAAATCCCACCATGAGCAACTCCAGGAGCACACTGGGTGCACACAGAGCAGGGCTTGGGCACAAATGAGGGCAGAACAGGTAGGGGGCTTCATTTTAAAACAAGAGCACTGTTGCTTGCCTTAAAAACAGGAAGAGCTCTTGTGCTAAAAGTGTAGTGAAAAGTAGGATAACAGCTTAGCTGAAGTACGAGAGGTTTTCAGAAGAAATAATAGATGCTATTAGAAATATTACTACTCTGATAATTTTCTTTAGTTTTGTGAGGAATCTTTGGATTGCTCAATTGGGAAGTGAACAGAGAAGAGTTTAGGAATTATCCAGAACACTTCCTGTCTGTAACCTCCCAGGAAAGCAACAACAGCCAGAAGATATTCAGGTGGAGATTTTAGGCAGAAAGAAAAACCCAGAGACAAGAAAGCAAAGGACAGTGTCCAAATCCAGCTACGTCCAGGAGGATCTAGGTATTACACACGGCATCAAAGACCTGCCCTCAAGGTATCAGAAAAGGGACAGATTTACACGCCATCGGTTCAGATACCTGCAAGGCAAAACCAAAACATCAGCACCTAACCCACCAGTACCTATAGATTAGTTAAAGAATGAGGTGATAGAGTCAAGGATGGTAAGTGTAGCAGGAGTATGGGGCAGATGGGTGGGGAATGGGGGGAAAAAATGTATTACAGAAGTGCTATCTTCAGTCAATCCCCAGATTGCTTAGAGGATTTTTACAGAGCTGATGAAGGGAGCAAATGCAGGCTGGGAGAAAGCAGCTTCTCATGCTCAGTCCGAAGTCAGGGTGCTGTCTCCCACTGCCTCCAAAGGTCCTTCCTTTGGAGGGTTCACTGTGACACACACCAGAAGAGTCCAGCTACAGACTCCAGTCCCACCAAACAGCTGTGATAGGCTTAGTGTCAAACAATCAGAGAGTACAAGATAAAGCTGAGACTGTCTGTTTCTGCCTGGCAGAGAACATGGAAACAGCTCTCCAACCACCAACAAGAGTCTGGTGGACCCAAGGGCAAAAGAGGTAGAAGACTGACTCAGCTGCTTCACATCTACGTGGCCCTTGGCCTTTCCAACAGCCTAAAAAAAGGGTAACCACACCAATTAGTGACTAATGAGCTGCATCACATCAGCAGATGGTTAGTAGGAACACAGCTGAGTCACTGCACAGACGTGTCACTTCACCCAGGTCAGGGACACAGTGCCACCAAACAGTAGCTGCTGGAGGTGGCCTGAGGATGCTCTGACTTCACCTTGCTCCAACACACAAGTCCTTGCAGATCCGTCCTCTCTTAGTAGAGTGAAAGAGTGGGACCTTAAAAAACAGCCCCAAAAATGCACCCTTTTTTATTTTCTGGGGTTCTTACAATTGTTCCATATCTTCGTGACTGGCTTTCCCAGAGTGGGACTGGATAACAAAGGCAGTATTAAACACACATTGACAGCGCTCTTAAATGAAGACTAAATGTTAACATAAGGTTTCAAGGTTTCACACTAGCTTCTGCCATGTAGAAGAACGTGATCATCCACCAAAAGTCTGTTTCAAGACTAATGATACACAGCACTGCATAATTATTCCTGGGATCCTTCATACCCCAGAGGACATGCTCCACCCAGAGAGATTTCAGTTCCATTACTTGCACCCTAAACAATCCAAAATTCAAATTTATCTTCTTAGGAAGCTTAAAAATAAACTTTCTCTGCAGATCTTTGAGGTCAGAAATGCTAAATGGCTCAGACATACCCTAGAGTTATGTCTGATCCCCTTCATTAGGCTCTAGGACTAATCATATGTGATAATGACCCCAAATGGGAACCGAAAGATGAGCCAAGACCACAAAACAAATCAGGCAACGATGAGATTAAATGCCAGAACTAAAGAGATAGGAGAGCTCAGGGCATGGGAAGGGAGAAAGCAAAGGAAGCAGCAAGGAAGAGTGAGCATTGCTTTGTGAGCAGAGTGGGCAGGTGAAGCTGGCCATGGCTGCCCTGTCCCCCCAGGGTGTTCCTCCCTCTGAGAGCACACACTGCCACTGCTGGACACACCAACACTGCACCAGCCACGGAATGAAATCCTCTGCTCCTGCATGCCAAGCCTGGCAGCAGCCAAGTGACCTTTGCTGCTGACTCAGGCTCACAACACCCTCCCCTCTCCCCAGAGAAGATGTGTCTCACCCTCTACCCTACTTACTACAGCTGGGGAATGTGCATCTCAGCAAGACAGCACATTGCATTATATGCTTAAAAAAAACCCCGAAACGTGGAGCACAACTTCTCTATTTGGTTTTGTTTTCTTGAGTTTTTTGGTGTGGGTTTGGGTTTTTTCTTCCCCTCTCTTTTCTAGTGTTTGTAGGTACAAGGCTCTGCCTCACATCCCTGCAGTGGTTTCAAGTGTTCAGGATGCAGCTGCCTGTCCCACCCTCTGGAGGAGACAAGACCCTGCAGGGAGGGCAGGAGATGGGATGCCAGTCCATGCCTCAGCCACCCCTCACCACTCTCATTTAACTCACAAACATTACAGCACAGAGACATGTCCTGTCATGAGATGAAGCAGGAGTAGAGTCCAAGGCAGCAGGGCAGAAAATTTGGTTTCACAGCTGTTTTTCCCCAAGGCAGTTTATGCAGCTGGCATCCCAAACAGCTCCGTGGGCGGTTCCTGCCAGCCTCACACAGGATCAGTTTTGTGGGGTTTTACTTCATTTGTGTCACTGCTCTGCTTTGCTCCATCACGAGACCCCACGCATGGTCACTCTAGACAGAACAAGAAGTGAGGAGGGAAAAATCGAAGCACGGCTTTGATTCTACCTGGAAAAGTGGTCCATCAGTGGAAATGCAGCTGAAGGACTTGTTTTAGACTTAGTTTTCACAGATTCATAGGATCATTAAGGCTGGAAAAGACCTCCAAGATCATCAAGTTCAACACTGCCAAGTCCACCACTAAAGCATTTCCCTAACTGACACATCTACATGTTTTTCAAGCACTTCCAGGGATCGTGACTCCACCACTTCCCCGGGCAGCCTGTTGCAGTGCTTCATCACCCTTTCAGTGAAGAATTTTTTCCTAATTCCAATCTAATTCTCCCTTGATGCTTCCTCTCATCCCATTGCTTTTCACATGAGAGAGGAGACTGACCCCTACTTGACTACAACCTCCTTTCAAGCAGCTGTAGAATGAGAAGATCCCTAAGTCTCCTTTTCTCCAGGCTAAACACCCCCAGCTCCCTCAGCCACTCCTCATGAGACTTGTGCTCCAGACCCCTCATCAGTTCCATTGCCCTTCTCAGGACATGCTCCAGAACCTCGGTGTTTCTCTATTTGGGCAAAACAGTGCAATAACCGCTCTCAATATTCTTCAGTTATTAAATCCAATTCAACCAAAAGACTGGCGAGATCCACCCAAACCAAAAGCACAGAAACCAGGGACTTTCACCTCTCCTCCTCTCATCCAACCTTGTACAAACAAGTTCCTGCTCCCAGGGAAACACCTGAAAAGGGAAGAGGGCTGCTCTTCCCATGCTGGTGTTCAGCTGCTGTTGACCAGCATGCCCAGGTCCTTTTCCAGTGGGCAGCTTCCCTGACACTCTGCCCCAGTCCATAATGCTGCCTGGGTTGCTGTGATCCAAGTGCAGGACCCAGCTTTGCCTTGTGGAACCTCATTCAGAGGATCATATCCAGCCTGTCCAGATCCTCTGCAGAGCCTTCCTGGCATCCAGCAGATCAACATTCCCACTCCACTTGATGTGATCCACCTGACTGCCACCAGCCACCTGACTGAGGGTGCCCTTGATCCCCTCTCCAGATCATTGACAGAGACATTAAACAAGAGTGTCCCCAAAACTGAGCCCTTGGGAACACCACCTGGGACCAGCTCCCAGCTGGATGTAACTGCATTCACCACCTCTCTCTGGGCTCAGCAATCCAGTCTTCTACCCAGTAAGTAGCTGGATGAGAAACAAAACAGAACAAAAAACAAACTATCCACAGCTGCAAAGGTTTCACCCCATTTAAGGATTAAGACCAAAACTATATCAAGCCAGGAATGCTGATAATTTGCACCTCAGCTCTATCCCACCTCAAAATCCCATCACAACCTAGTGCTGCAATTAGGCACAGAGAAGAATCTGCAGCCTTTTCACCTGCTGGATCTAAGCAGTAGCCCACGGCAGGTTTTGATGTATTTATATAGTTCTTAATAAACCAGTATTTTCTGTTCTTCATCACCCAACAGCCATAAACAAAAATAAATTTACCCAAACATCTTAAGTTCAAACAGCAGCAGTTATATATACAGATATTACATTGATTGCATACGCCATATGAGCCACAGAATTCAAAGCTAAGGCTAATATTTCAAGCAGAAAATTATTCCTTGCAGGTCAGAAAATTGCAGGGAATTCAGGTCTGGACATGCTGCTGCATTACGTAACTCAGGATAAGATATTTTCGTTACCAAAGCACCTGCCAACCCAAGCAGGCTCCTGCACTCAGCAAGCATGAGCCCAGCTCGTGCCACTCTGCAACAAGCAGGCTGGATTTCCCTCTGCTTCCTTGCCCACCTTCCTCACTCCTCATCTCCACAGGGCTTAATTTTTCTAGTGTGAATGGAAGTGAAGTTAAGAGGGACTTAATTCCCAAGTCTGGATCATGCATGTCTCTGTGCTGATGGTGGCAAAACCATGAGTACATGGGATGCATGCTCTTGGCATGGTGCAACATTGAAACTCCAGGAACGTCTTTTCCAAAATCGACAGAAAAAGATTTACTGTAGGCACTTGGGGGTGCAGAGCTTGACTTCTCTCAACTCCTCCCACCACACCAGCCATTGCAGGTGAGCTAAATCCAGTAGCCCTGGCAATCCTGAACATACCTCTTCAAGGAAGGGAGAAGGTCCCAACAGCACTCAGTAAATCCATTCAACACTTCCAGGAGGTATCAAGCAACTATGCACATAGTGCAGGGAGGCATGGAGCTTCCCTATGCACAGCAGACCCAGCAACACTGGCTGATGAGCTGCTGATCATTCAAAAGTCTAGACACATTTTAAAAAGTGCATCTGGATAAAATATAAACAGATAATGAAAACCTCAGCCCTATCCTGTATAGAGAGATTCATGCTCCTCAATGCTTCACTCAGGATGTTTCTCCTACACCAACCAAGCAAGCTGAGTAGTACAAGTGGTCATGTATCAGATGTATTTTTTATGCCACAGATATATTTCTGTAAATAAAAGGAAAGCTAAAGCTGAGGGGTTTTGGATCAATGACCATACAGAGCACATAGGCCTTCCCCTTACCTCTTTTGCCACCATGGAAAATTTACAGCTCACTGAACTACCTTGCTCAGGTCATGGCTCACACATGAGCTGGCCTCCAGGAGCTTGTGTAGGTACTACAGAGGAACCCACTGACTGGCAATTACAGCTGCTTCCCCAAAGAACAAGCAGGTAAACCCAGCACCACCATCATCCCATAGAAGAGCCTGGAGCCAGAGGTCCAGAGAGCAGGATGCTCTGCTGTGGTGCTCCACCTAACACAATACAGTCCAGCCTTACCTGGACATCAGAGATAAGAGCCTGCACGCTGCCCTCTCCATCTGCCTGCTTGGCTTAACACTGGAGATCTCACAGATCTCACACTCAGAAACAATCTTTGGATTTTCACACATTCCAGGCATCCCCTGACAGTGAAAAGGTTTTGTGTCCAGGCTTTCCACTCCTGAGTGAAGTCTTCTGGGGAGCTTTGCAACTACTGGTGTTCAGGGCAGCATTAATCCTTTCTGGATGGATGGTGGAAAGATTGTTTGGGTTGGACAATCTTGGGGGATCTCTGTGCCACCAAAGACCCTTCCTGAGAGATCAGGCAACTCACAGCTTGCCTGGTGCAGTGTCCTCATCTAACTTACTCACCCCCGGAGACAAAGTTGTCTTACTCACAGGCACTGGTGGAGGTCAGCGTTAGGAATGGCCATGGAAGTGCTAAATATCACATGCAGACAGTGAGTTATATTCCATCACACACATCTGAGGATTAAACTGTTAATAATAACAATTCTCCTCGTGCAGATAAATGAATCAGATTTCTGTGTTATGTAGGAATAATGAGGTACACACTGTAGTTACAAAATGATAAATAGATAATTTCTTTAGGATTAAACAAAAAGCCTGCTGACATGCACAGCCACAATGCTTCAATGGTGTCTGACCAGACCACATACCAGCACCTCCAGGACACACACCATCTTCAGAAGCATGAGAACAGCCTGACACTCCATTTTCTGTCAGAATCTGGATTTTCACTGCAAAAGTTGGTGCAATATTAACACTTTTAAGACATGCCTGGGGATGAGGACAATACTGCATGCTCAAAACAACACTCTGTTGGTCTTGGCTACATTTTAGAACACCCTGCGACCACCAAGCCATACACTCTGCAACAACACATTTTTGTGTGTTGAAGCATTTACAGCCAGCACAGCAGAAAGGCTGACTTCCAAGTGTGGAAAAAACTCCATTGCCAGAAATCCAGCCAAAAAATGCTGTTTCATCCACTCAAAAACAACAGCCTCTTCCCAAAGGGGGAAAAAAAAAACCCAACAAAATTATTTTTTAAACTACAGCCAAGAGGTAAATGAAACATATCTTGCATGGAAGAGCCAGGAAAGCTTACTGAGTCCAGCTCTCTGGGTGAAATAAAGCTCCCACACCAAGACCTGGCCCACTAAAATGGGGAAACCCACCACAACTTATGTAAAATTTTGTGTCTTTAGAAACCAGGTGCAGGATCAGGCTGAATGCCAGGTGTCTCCTCCATGACATTTCTGGGGACAGTGCAACTCCAAGCAGTGACGTGCAGGCTGCCCACCTCACAAGGAGGCAAAGCCAGTGAGAAACAAATCCTTGGTTTAGAATAAAGGCTTGTGCATGTCTAGCACATAAAAAGCAAAGAAGTCTCCTGATGCATTAGTTTGCTGGGCTGGCAAGGGTTTGAATGGCATCATGATCATATGTGGAAAAGTTCTGAACTGGGTGACAAGGTTCTGCTAAAAACTTGAAGATTAGACAGCTTGACACCATCATTTTTGAGAATATATGAGAAAAGCTATCATAACCAAAGAATTTCAATAAGATATTTACAGGAACATCATGACTCAAATGAGGTTGCAAGTGCAGAATTAGCACAAGTGTAACTATGCCATTTAGCAGTGACATAATCATAAATGTATTGTGAAATATGAATATGTGCCTTAGACACACTTTCATAACCCAGAATAGCCAAGAAAATTTTGAGTTTTAACTGCAGTGACATGTCTTACTGCTGTTGACCATCTTGTTTTCATTGTGTGTCTGTGGTATGAACAAAAAAAAAAATCCAATAAGGTTTTGTTTAGCAAGAATTCTTTCTAATTGAAAAAACAAGCCATTATTTCCATCTCTTCAGTTCTGCTTAAGTAAGCTTGTGATTTACTGGGATTTATATCACTTCTCCATCAAATCTATTAGAAGTAATAAGTAATTAAACCTCAGCTAATTGCACTTTCAGGTGTCTGAGGCCTGAGCAGTGCTTGGTACCTCACAGTTTGGGCTCTGGGCTCCATGCAGCTCTGTGCACAATGCTCCTCTGCCATGCCATGTCAGTGCCATGCCACTGGTGATGGCCAGGCTGTGCCAAATCAACAGTGTCCTGGAACAGCAATCAAAAAGCTAAAAAACAAAAGCTATTGGCTCAGGACAGATATATCATACCTGAAGCTTAAATATAAAATATATAAATATATTCCAAAATACACTTTATATATAAAGTAATAGGTATTTAAATATAAGAGAAAGAGAAGAAAGATAAAAATCATAGATCCATGCAATAGTTTGGGTTGGATGGACTTCTGAAAATCATCCTTGGAAGAGTCTGAGGCCAGGTTGCATGAGACTGTGAGTAATCTGATCTAGAGGAAGGTTGCCTGCCCATAACAGGGGAAATGGAACCAGATGATCTTTAAGGTCCCTTCCAACCCAAGCCATTCTAGGACTCTACAATAACACTTCACTGAGAGGAGCTCAATCCCCAACCAGCTCCTCTCGTACATTTTGTTACAGCGTGACGTGCAGTGAAGGAGCCTCCCCAAGACAACTGCTTAGAGGAACTTCATCCAGGAACAAACACAAAATTATCAGGGCAGTCATTTGCAAAGTTCAAGCAACCCATCTTCAGTCAGTCATTTGCATTTGGGTTACAGGGGCAGCTTCCTCCCAGTGACTCAAGAAGGGGGCTGTCACTCCCAGGCAGAACTTTCAGGTATGCCCCCTAATTCAAGGGCAACAATCCACCACTCCAGAGGTGGATTGTTAAGATAAAAGATTTCTTTGTTCTAGTTATTTTGGCTGTCACTCCCAGGCAGAACTTTCAGATATGCCCCCTAATTCAAGGGCAACCTACCATTCCAGAGGTGGATTGTTAAGATAAAAGATTTCTTTGTTCTGGTTATTTTTCAGCTTACATGAGGACATAAAGAAGTGACCCTGTGTTTCAGCTGGAGGCTCCCTGTTCAAGAGCACACATGCAACATCGTGTGTGAGCCACACGTGAGCTGGGCATCACACCTGGGCCACCACAGCAGGACAGGCAGCACTTGGCCACAGCAGGTTTGCATTTCAGAAGGATTTCTGCCTCTGTTACACTTTTTAAAGGAAGGTTTCTTATCTAGGAGTGACAGCATTTTGGAACATGAAATGATAGATAGGATAGGAGGAATAAAATACAGTTGAGTGTTAAAGGCTTTTGCCCCAAAGATGAGCTTGGAATCCCAAACCAGAGGGCTCTGTCTGCCACTAAAGTCAAAATTGGGGTGATAATTTCTGACGTATTCCTAGGCTGATTATTGCCCCAGTGGTCCTCAGTTTACCACCTCCTATTTTCAGATGGGAAGCACATTTTAATTGTACCAGGCATGCTCATGCACACAACATTCAGCTTCCTAATGGAACTTCACTACCAGCTCAGGCATTGTACGTGCCCTCTGAGAAGCTCTCCCCTCTCAAAATGGTCTCATCTGATGGAAACCCCTCAGCTGGGATCAACCATCCTGTCTGGCACCAGATGGGAAGCACATTTTAACTGTACCAGGCATGCTCATGCACACAACACTTCAGCTTCCTAATGGAACTACACTACCAGCTCAGGCATTGTATGTGCCCTCTGAGAAGCTCTCCCCTCTCAAAATGGTCTCATCTGATGGAAACCCCTCAGCTGGGATCAACCATCCTGTCTGGCAAGTGACTGATCTGGCAGGGAATATTCTCTGCATTTCTGCAAAGAAACACTGCAGTACATTTTAACTGTGGATATCTGCCAGAGCAGCAGATGTTTCAGGAAAACAAATTGTTCAGAGAGGGAAGAAAGTAGAAACAATAGAGACTTGGGTGTAGCTTCAGGACTGGCTTAAGAAGATGTTTCCAAAGGGAAGGCTTTCAACCCTACCTGCTCCAGACAACTGCAGGAGGGACCCAGTCCAGATGGGGAAAAAAACCTGAGGGTGGGACAGCAGAATTAGAATTTACAGCCTGGGTTACACAATTTAATTTTGTAAACAATGTTTACTATCTTGAGTATCTCAATAACAATAACATCATATGATGGCTCCTGAGTAAGATTTTTATAAGGATATCACAGATCTCTTCAGAAGGTAAGGAACAGTATTTATGTTTTGGTTACATTTTAGCTCACACACTAACACATAGCCTATTTTCAGCCCCCCTTATAGTTTCAGATGGTTACAGTACTTTTTATTTACCCTAAACCACTGCAAATGTACATTTAGTCTTCTAGGGTAGCTATCTGCTGTTAAAACCTCATCTCAGCTTTGGACCAGCTGCAATTCAAGAAACTGCACAAGGTAAATTTGGCACTAAAATCCTTAACACAAAAAGGCAGTTCTTAGCAGAAACTTTCTGCTCCAGGCCTCCTGCTACTGCAGGGATGTTATTCTAACATCTCACCTAGAAGTACAAAATCCGAAAACATGATTTTAAAAATTGTGTTCCAGGGTTGTTGAGATATATTGTTTAGAGCTGATGCAGCAAGCAGTACCTTGAGGACTAAGCAGGCAGGGCCCCACAAAACCAAGCATCACACGTGAGGCACACACGTATGAAAAGATGGCACTGGCCACAGCTGCTCTCCAGCCCAGATAAATCATGTCTCCACCTCTGCATACCTCCACACCCAGCTCAGCTACTGCCCATCTCCAGCCACATGGGTTAATAAATTATTGCAGAGATCTGCAGAGAAAGATTTGCATTTGGAGAGAAGTGAAGGTACAACCACAGCTTTTGCAGCACCAATATTCACCCTTCCAATGTCATCAACAAGCAGAACTCTGTGACATAGCCCAAGATCCCCCAAGGAATGGTGCTTTTGTTCAAAAATATCTTCCCATCTCTCAGGGCTCTTCCAGTACAGACACTGCTGTATTATAGATATTAGCACACAAAAATATATGTATTTTTTCCCGTACTACTACTACCTCCTTGGCAGCAGCCCTCTAAAGATTTTACCTCTTTGGGACTAAGATTAGGAAACAAAGTTACTTCTCTTGATTACTTCAAGCAAGCAGCAGCCAGTCCCTCATAGACACTGATGCCAGCATTAGGTGTGCAGCCTGGGCAGTGCTGCCACTGGGACAGGGACCCTGGCACTCGCAGCTGCACGGTCATGGGGACGCAACTTGGCACGTCAGCACACTGTTTGTGACCATCTATTTTTATTCCTTAGCAACAGAGCACCTTTTGGGGTTGAGCCTTGAGCTTGTGGGGCTTTTTTTTTTTTGTGTTGAATCTATATTTGGCACCCTGAGGAAATTCCTAAATAGAAGACAGCAATTTTTAAAAGAGAGGATAAATGCTGGCACTCAGCTTTGCTGACAACAGCACCAGGCTCTTGGTTAGTGTGAAGTGCTCAGACCTAGAGCCAAGGGAAGCTCTCACATGGACCAAGCATCAAGAGTCACATCCCTCACACTTTCTGCCTTTGCAAAACCTTGCCCTGGAATAAGAACAAGAAAAGATTTTTTGGCTTATAAATTCTCTAAGCCATTCGTATCTTGTGTAAACCAACAAGGCTCTGAACCTCATCACTGCTCAGCAGCACTGATGCGTCCCACGATAATTTCTGTCCTGTGGGAGACAGTGCTGAGTGGTCCTGTCTCAAAGGGGGAGAGGAGCAGATGGGGGAAAACTTCAGTACAATGCAGCAATTCTGAACTAAGATACCACCCTTACCATAAATCATGGAAATATCAACGCT